AGCCTAACTGCCTAAGGTCATTCAGGCCGTTCCGGCCTTTTCTGGTTGGCGACCCAAAGCCACCTAAGCCCATTTGCAAATATATAAAGATTTCTCATTTCTGCAATTGCAATTTCTCATGTTAAGTAACCCAACTACTCACGCAGTGTAGTGAAGTGAATATTTAATTAACAAAAAAATTTGTAATATTGATAATTTATTATTTCACTTTCAAGCTCAACTTATCATTTTATTTAAAGAAAAATGATTTTGAAATAATTTTTTAGTATCATTTTTTTTACAACTTGACGTGTGATTATTTTTTTAATTCACGTGAAACTTGTGATATTAAATGTATTCACTTATTTAATGACACGTGTAAATTATATTAAAATATAATATAAAAAAACTATTCATATAACATCACTCTTTTTTATTATAGTTACCGATTTTTATTTTTCGTATGATTTTAATGCCTCTATTTATCCCCAGTACTTCCAAATATTACGTGTTGGTGCTATATTAATGACTTTTTCTTACCCCAAGAATCACAAAAACAAATGCATATATCAAGCCTAAGCTTAATTAAGGGGGCAAGTTGCTGGATTAAGGACTATATATAATATAAATATATAATGCTGACTGGGGAAAACAGTATGTCAGCCATGAATAGGAGAGGTTGTTAACTGAAGCCTGCTAGGTTACTTACTTCATTTTAACATTTTATTTGGACGGTTACAAATGACAAAGACAATATGCCATAAATTCTATTTTCAAATTTCAAAGGATCGCAATCCATACTTTTATTTATTTTATCATGACCTAGGCTTCTGTTTGGGTTGATGATTGAAGATACATTTGATGATCTGATCTTGCTTTAAATTTTTCTTGAAATTAAATTGCATCATCAGAAAATAAAAATTTTAGTCTTTCTACGTTTATGTGATTGATGAGCTTTTAAAACTAGTATGTAAGAGATTAGTTTTAAAATACGTGTAAATTATCTAACAGTATTCTAATGGTTTAAATCCAAAAAAATAAAAAGAAATAAATCCTCTTGCTCAAGCTTCTAAACATTATGATACAAGAAGAAAAGGTTTCAGCAATCAAAATGCAATCAGCTGTCAATAATTTCGTATTATTTATATTATATAAATTAAATTCAATTGTCAACCTCAAATGGCGTATGGATGTTGGTCGTTAAACCATCGTTACCTTAATCCTAAACACAATGGCATCTTGCCTGAATAGATGCAATGAAACTGTGTCTAAAATCTAAATAAAGGTCAGCTTTGGATTTAAAGAATCAAACCCTCTACCATTTTCAACGGCATGACCTTCAATTTTAGGCTTTTATAAGAGATTGATGAATGTTGCAGACATCATATATACCTGATTCCTTCTGGCACTGACCTGTATCCAAAAGATGCTTGATCTCCCCCAGTGAAGAGGTTTGACGATAATTATTTTTTTCCCAATTTAAAAATCCTACTCAAACACTTATCTGAAAGTAACTGAAGCTTCTCCTAGCCATGTTAAAAAAAGTATACAATAATACAAGTCAAACTCAAGATTTGTTTTCATTTGGTAGGAGTCTTCAAGTTTTCCAGCTTAGATTCCAATGATTAAATATCCTTATAAATTTTTTTTTTTAACTGCTTGTCTCCTGGGATAATATATACACACATCGGAATTCAATGTTATATCCACCGAATTAGAAGTTTAGAACTAATTAACTAAGAAACAAAGTTCCAAACAGAATGGTAATTAATGTGATCTCAATTCAATTTCATTTAGCCAGTTCTCTATTCTTGACCATAATATGGAGTTTTACATGTCTAATCAATTTCTTAAAATGTTGCTGAACAGCGCATCTGTGGAGATGTTAAGGTTAAAGAGCAAGCGAAGCAAGAACCGAGGCGTGGAGGAAATAGAGCTGCACTTTTTGTATATGGTATCTATGATTGTATTTTGTTTTGTATATTGTTTCTTTATGTAGAGTATGGTTTTTTATGGAGAAATTTTTGCAGCTATGGGAGGCACTGGAAAATATGGCCTTTGTTTCCAATGCTGCGAGTCTTGTGACTTACTTCTATGGCCATATGAACTTTAGCTTGAGGAAATCTGCAACTACCCTAACAAATTTCATGGGGACTTCGTTTTTATTAACCCTCTTTGGAGGATTCATCTCAGACACCTATTTTTCAAGGTTCAAGACCTGTGTCCTTATGGGATGCATAGGAGTTTTGGTAAAGTAAAATGTTGAGTAAATTAACTCAGAAGTTTTATTTCAAATCATTAAATGTGGGAGATACAATTAAGGTATGATTTTGGTTGATCCAAACATTTGCAGGGATATAGCCTGCTAACAGTACAAGCACACTTCCATCAACTGAGGCCAGCTCCTTGCAGAGCTGGGATGCACCAAATGAATCAATGCGAGGCCGCAGATAGCAACCAGGCTGCAATGCTCTTCACTGGACTGTACCTCGTTGCACTTGCAACTGGCGGAATTAAGGCAGCTTTACCATCACTAGGGGCTGATCAATTTGACAGCAAAGATCCCAAAGAAGCAGCTAAACTCTCTAGCTTCTTCAACTGGTTCCTATTTAGTCTTGTCACTGGAGGCATAATTGGCGTCACTTTCGTTGTTTGGATAAGCTCCAATCAGGGCTGGGACTGGTCATTTGGAATATGTACGGTAGCTATCATGTTTGCTGTGGTGTTTGTGTGCATGGGAAAGTCATTGTACCGGAATAGTGTGCCTAAAGGAAGTCCTATCGTTCGTATCCTACAGGTAATTATACCAAAATGATTGTCTACTTAACCGAGATAATACCTATTAATTTTACATCTTAATTATAAGATTAAGGTCAATTCCATATGGTTGCACTAAATAGTTTTGATATCAATACTTGAGGTTTTTGTGGCTGCAATCCGAAACCGAAATCTTCCCTTACCAGAGAAGGCAGAGGAACTACACGAGATTCATGACAAAGAAGCAGGGGAGCAAAATGAATTTCTTCAAAGAATTGATCAATTCAGGTACAACTTTAATTCTATTTTGTGTAACCCTTTTTGTTAATATAATAAAAGCTAACATTTAGAACCATAATTTTCCAGGTTCTTAGACAGAGCAGCAACTGATCAGAGGAATTCTATGTCTAGGGATGCATCAACATCAACAACACAGGGCCCTGGAGCCTATGCACGGTGACACAGGTTGAAGAAGCGAAGACCCTATTACGGATGCTTCCAATTATTTTCAGCACGATTTTCATAAACACTTGTTTGGCTCAACTCCAAACATTTTCCATCCAACAAGCCACAACAATGGACACTCACATTCTCAGTTTCAAAATGCCCGGTCCCTCGATCCCTGTCCTTCCCCTGCTTTTCATGTTCATCTGCCTCCCAATCTATGAGCGCATTTTCGTTCCCGTAGCCAGGAAGATAACCGGAATTCCCACCGGAATCAGACATCTTCAACGTACAGGGGTTGGACTTGTCCTCTCCGCCATTTCCATGGCGGTTGCTGGGGTGGTGGAAACGCGACGCAAGTCCGTGGCAGTTGAACACAACATAGTGGACTCTGTTCAGCCTCTGCCCATGAGTGTGTTCTGGCTTGGCTACCAATATTCCATATTTGGGTTGGCTGATATGTTCACCTTGGTGGGGCTGCTGGAGTTTTTCTATGCGGAGAGCCCCGCCAGGATGAAGACGCTGAGCACCGCCATCTCCTTGTGCTCCCTGGCGTTTGGGTACTTTACTAGCTCGGTGGTGGTGGTGGTGGTGGAGGTGGTGAACAGGGTCAGTGGCGGATGGCTGGCAAGTAACAATTTGAACAGAGACAAGTTGAATTACTTCTATTGGTTATTGTCGGTGTTAAGTGCGTTGAATTTTGGGGTTTATTTGGTGTGTTCCTCTTGGTATAAATACAAGAAGGTGGCAGTTGAAAACTCAAGTGGTGGTGATGCCAAGGGAAAGCTTGAGATGGAAAGAGTTTAAGAGGTCTAGTAGGATTTTAACTTTTAGGTTTACCTAGAGTTCTTGAATTGATCATGCTATTTTCATATTTCTCTTAGATGAATAAGATTTAAAATATATTGTTAAATTGTCAACAATTTAAATAGTTAAATAATAATTATATGACTCTATAATCCTGAATTACATTAAATTGTAAATAAAAAATATTAGATAAAAAAATTATCTTGATATTAAAAAATCTATCTCATCTAATAATTTGTATCTTACAATGTGTCCACACAATTCCTTTTTTGATCAATTTAAGTGAAGTGCCTCCCTTTGATTACTACAATTTGCAATAAACCATTCCTCTGCAAGCGTAATTACAAGTTGAATAGAAGTAAAATAAAGTATATACAGTGCTGAGGTCATGAGAAGGGGCTGAAGATATCTAACTTTATTCATAAAGCTTTAACAGTTTGGTTGTTACATATCATTAATCATAAACCCCATGACAATCTAAATCTTCAGCTTCCCCATTTCTTCACTACCTTACCGTCAAACTTCAAAGGCATTGAAGCAGAGCCTGCTCAGCCTGTCACACCATCCCACATTTCTAGCATTATAAACATCAACCACATAAATTGAAAGGCATTCCATGGAATTGTCCTTTCATTTTCCTGTTTATTTTCCCACTCTCTAATGTATTTCAGATAATGTGAATAAATAAAGGAAAGAATGTGTCACTGGCCATGATTGACCGTAATAAAAGATTCAGACAGATGGATATTATGATCCATCCTAAACGGTGCCCACAAGCAGGGGCATGATCAAGAAAAAGTGTTGCACATTCAGATATGCTCCAATATGAGCCAGACTGGAGATTAGTAAGGAATGGACTCAGATCCTCTCTATACATGCAGAGGCCAACATGTCAAGAAACTGCAACAGAATTCTTCGCTGCATGTGGATCATATATTGTGTCTGACACTCTGGAAGGTGGCCAATACCGGTAAACAGATCTCCCAAGAATATTTTTTATAGGAAGTGGACCCCTGAAATAAGGTAAAATCGCAAGATGTCAGATGTAAGAAATCATATTCATAAGAGAAAAGTCGAAACAAATAAAAATGGCTAAACGCCATCTACGAAACTGTGTTTGTAGATCCTCATACATGATTTCTGAGAGAATTTTCTGATGGAGATTTGAGTTATCTGACTGAAGGCTGCATAAGTTCTTTCTAACATGCAATATATACTTAAGAGAATAAATTATTAGTAGTAATAAGATTTAAGAATTACCAGTCATGAGAGTCGAAACTTTGATTGCGATTATCTCCCATCACAAAAACACATCCTTCCGGCACAAGCTGCAATGAAGGCAAAGGAAAGCACAAGCTTTGTTAGCTAATTCAACAAATGCTGTGACAGCAGAGAAATACACAAGCACCAATTAGGTTCAAAACGAAAACAGAAGAGTCAGAAGATGAGACAATACCCTTGGTTCCATTTCATATTTAAGTGGCTCCAGAATGAAGTTTTCATCTTGGGCAACCCCATTTACAAGCAGTTTTCCACCACAAACCTATTACAGAAAGATCCACACACAATAAGTTAGGAATTAAAAAGATGAATGATTCTTTAGTGAAAGAACAAGGGAGGCAAACAAAGACCTAAGAATTGATTGCATAAACTTAAGGGCTTACTTCAACATAATCCCCCGCCTTTGCCACTACCCTTTTTATAAATACATCTGCTGAACTGATGTCATATTTCTGCATAATGTAAGGAATTTATTAGTGATCAGAATCAGGAAACAAAGTTATAGACTTCACAAGTACCCAATTAGGCCTACCAGCAAACTAGGAGGTGCCTTGAATATAACAATATCTGAAACTTCAGGCTCTCTGAAGATATATGAAACCTGCATAACAGAAACAGAAAAAGTTGAGCTCGATGTCAGTAAAAGCAAAATTATCGTCCTTCAAATTCTTAAACCAGAAAATCTCTACCATTCTGCCTTAATCCAACACAATACGAACAATTATCAGGACTCAGAAAAGTTAGCAGATAGTTGAGTAGTTTTGATGGTTGTAAATATAAGCCATAATTGATCAACAGTCGAAACAATTACCCACAATTTATGTAAAGGAATTAAGGATATTCCCAACGCAGTAACTATAAACATAAATCAATGATCAATCATGAAATTCAGAATTATATATATATATATATATATATATTTACCTTCTCTGTTAGAATGCGGTCACCGACATCGAGAGTAGGGAACATAGAGGAAGAAGGAATGGACATAGGCTCCGCCAAGGAGGACTGGAAAAGCAAGCTAACAGTCAAAGCGGTGAAAGCAGCCTTGGCATCCTCCGAGTAGGTGTTCAACAAGTTCGAGAACCAACGGGATTTGCCAAACTCTTTCTGGTCCAACTCCAAACTCACAGTACAATTCCGGCCCTGATTGCCACCGGTATGTAACTCAATTGTCCCCCCTTTATCCACCTCATCGCTCTCGGATTCCGGCAGAGCTGCATCGTTAGCGGGCAGCGACTTCGACCCCTGCAAAAACGGGATCATCGAAGTGGCTTTAAAGGGGGAAATTCCGGAAAGCCCCACAGCCAGAGCCGATGAACCCGATGAAGCCGATCCACCAGCCGTTGACTTCATCATCGAAATCAGTCCAACAATAATCGAACTCTTGCAGCTATCTCCCAGGATCTCCTCCGCAAGGGTACTAAAGAAGCTCTGCCGTTTCGGGATGAAATCGGTGTGGTAGTTGCTGGGAGGAACAGGATCGACCTCGACTTTTTGGTTGGAAAAGAAGCGTGAACGGATCCAGCATTGATGGACGGTACGGTAGGAGGAGCTACGTCGCACAGAGGAGGCCAGGTTCTGGGCGGCGTAGCCGGAACAGGTAAAGGTCATTCGGATCGCCATATCAACGATTTTGAGTAGCAAGATGAAGATTGGGAACAGAGTGCTGTCGGGAAACCCTAGAAGTAGATAAAAGCCATTTCCGCTGAAGAAATCAGTGAAACGGAGACCAGAACGATGAATTGGGGAGCCGAGCTAGGGCAAAACCGAAGGCGAAGGCGAAGGAGAGAAGAGGACGGTGGGTTCCGAATTTGGGGTTGGAAATTTAAGGTTTCTTAACGGTGCGGTGTTCGGGAAAAGACCTGAGCGTACGCCCAGGAGATTGCCAATGAGGGAGCTGCAACTACTTCAGGCCGCGAAAATTCAAGAGGAACACAGAGATCTGAAACGATTTAGGGTTTATAAGCGGACGGCGAGCCGGCGGCAATTTCCTCATTATTACAGTGGACTTGTTTCTCTTTCTATTTACATTACTGCCACTACTCCTCAGCGCCCGACTTCGCTATTTTTCATTTATTAATTACCCAATTAATTCTCTTGCTTCAAGTTTTGACAAAATGATTTCATATATATAGAAGTAAAAAAATATTTTCTGATGTAGAAGGTACAAAAATTATAAAATATGTCAAACACGAATTTTAAAAGTTTTCTTTTAATTTTTAAAGTGTTATTTAGAAATTAAAATTATAACATATAGTGGTAATTTCAAATTTAAAAAAAAAAAAACTTTTAAAGTTTACTTACATAAAAAGAAGTGTAGGAATTCTTGTAAATTATTTAAATATTTTTAATAAAATCTCTTTTCATCCTGATTCATTAAACTATTTAATTATGTAAATTTTATATGTATTTTTATATTTTTTTATTGGTTGATATGAAAGTTTACAATTCTTAATAAATTTTAAATTTATTTTTATTAAATTTTTATATTTTATAATTATTCTATAAAAATTAATCATTTTATTTTTTTAATGTAATTCAAGGGTAATTTCACAAATCTCTATGATCTATCTCAAAAATTAATAATTTTAAAATTTTTATAAAAACTCTACTTAAAGATTAATAATATTAAACTATAATTATACTAAACAAACTCTTAGAAACTATTCATAATCACTTTGCAATTCTCATTCTTCATCTTTACTTGAGTACTGTTTAGTATTAATGTTTAAATTTAGAAGATGAAAATCGAAAACAAATTTTTTTCATTTTAAAAAAGGTTACAAACTTTTTTGTATTGCACTTTTCAATTCCTTCTTTCTATTTTTATTCTTATTAAGAGCTAGCAAAAGTTAATGAAAAACTGTTTTTAATAATAGTTTTTTTTTAAGTTTTTATAAAAGGGAAATTTTAGCATTATTTTGTTTACATTAAGCTTTTCTTCTTCTTTTTCTTTTCTTTTTTTTTTAACATTACATCAACATATTTAAGGTTTTCTATAAGAAAAATAAATTCGTATAAAAAATTCTTCTAACTTATGCCATAAAAATAATTTTTTTAGTATTAATTGTTATTAAAAAATAAATTTTAACATTTATTTAATTAATTATTTAATTAAAATAATACATATAATATTATGGGATGAAATTATTGTTGCACTTAAATAATTAATGTTATATTATTTTAATTTAATTATTTGCTATATTTTTATATTATATATTTTTAAAATTTTATATTTTTTCTTAATAAATTAAAAATATAATTATTAATTAAAATAAAAATATAGTATTAATAATTAAGTATATAACAATAATTTCACTTAACACTAATAATAAAATTAATAATGGTTTTAATATCTTTTAATATCAATTAATATTAAAAAAAAATAATAATAACTTCTTCAACTATGGCAAAACAAAATAGGTTCAATATATTATCGTGGCTCAACAAAATGCTGGTAAGTTGATGAGGAGGTAAGGCTTTAAGCCAGTTGATGCTTGAAAGAAAGGAGCGGCCGCCAGCTTAGGAAACCTAACAATGAAACGTGTGTGAGCAAAAAAACTACTGCTGTGTCGCTTGTATCAATAATTTGTTGGTTCGAATGAGAGAAATTTAATTTTTTTTAAGTAAGATATCAAGTTAAAATCTTATAAACAGGTAAATAAATACTGAAAGAGTTTCTCTTTAATAAGATTTGATGTAATTTAATATTTTTTTAATAAAATTTGATATAATTTAATTTTAAATTAATTACAGCTCAACATAATTATCGAATATAAAAAAATTAATAAAAAAAAAAAACTACTGCTGTACGTGTAGAAGAGGACCGACAACATAATTGATGCCAGGCAGCGTGGGAAACAATAATTGGGTCTTACCTACGACCCAATTTGTCCCATGTATTCCTGATTTCTCGCTTCCCGTGATCTCTGCTCCTCTGATTTTCCGATTATCCATCCTCCCTCATTTTATTCTCCATGCATCTTCCAGTGTTCACAAAAACAAAACATCTTCTTTTCAAGTACTGTT